AGCGAAAGCAGACAGAAGGGACTTACAGAGGTTTACTGGTGCCACTGAATAACCGCACTGTCTACCAGCGGAATAAGCATTTCCTGCGGTGGAATAAGAAAACAGTAAAACGAGAAAAACGTCAAGTGTGCAAGGACACAGTACCATGAAGATTTAAGTGAAGTTATCTGACTGAATATGTCAGCCAAAAACATGTGTCTTCATTTTCAGCCTTTAAGAGGCTAAGCAAACACAAATACCTCAAAGTATCTACAAAGACATTTTAAAATGTGAATAATGATAAAACCACCCGCCCTCCATACATCCCTGTATCAGAGCAGTCAACAGCCAGCACTAGTTTTCACACGTGAGACTTTGCACCGGGAAGAGATAACGTGCCACAAGTTTTACAGTTTGGAAATTTCCCCCGTTCTCTTCTCTTATGTGCAGTCTGACATTTCAAGACTGGGCCCAGTTTACAGACACTCGCCCCGTTTCATCTGTGCCAAAATACACAGAAATCAGGTTTCAAATTGCTTTGTCTCCCAATTCTTGGCTCAAGTTCAGTGTTGTCAATGTTGGTCTGGAGGGCAACAAAAGTTGCCGCTGTGTTTTGGCTGATAATCAATGTGTTGAATATCGTCTTGTCAACGCCTCAACACTGTATTTCTCATTGGTGCTTGCTTGTACCATGCTCTGATGGGCTTTCTACACCGAGAACACCACAAGTCAAGCCGGTGTTGGTGTGACTGGAGGAGTGGCTCGCTGACTGAACTCACCGTTTTTTGGAGCATCTTTGTTCCTCAGGTGAGGTGGAATGTAACGCCCTGGAGAGGAGGAAGATCATGTCAGGTGTCACCTACTACTAAACCCAGCAATTAAATTAAACTCATGCTGTTAACTACAGAACATATGAAAACCTACAGTCAGAGAAATCATCATATAGTGACAGAATATCAGGTCTAATTTGAACATCCTGCAGTTATACAACCGTAACTTAACTGATCACCAAACGATTAAAACAAATAAGCATCATTTACTTTATGAAAATTACGCTTGAAAAAAATATCTATTGTGTGACTTACGACCGGTTCCTCCGCCTTGTCCGTCAGCAGAGTTCAAGTCTAGGGCAGCAAGCTGCAAAGGAGAAGGAGGAAACAAGGATCACCGAGGTGCAGATAAAATGTGACACACATATAAATATATATGAATATAAAGTCGGTCAATGAGAGACTCGTCCGCGGTGCATCGTCCTGGTGGGAACAATAAAAACGTTTTAAAACGTTCAGGACGCAACTAGAGGATCCAACGGTTTGTGGAGACGGTAAAACACACCGTTAGTCCAGATTCTCCTCAGATGATCAGACCTCTGTTAATTCATCCATCGCTTCTTCAGTCGCAGCTCGATCGTCGAGTGAAAACATCGTCGCTGCAGACGAACAGCGACGATGTTTCAGTCCTTTAATGCACAGACCGAGGTCACCGCTGCTTTCAGGCGTCAGCACAATAAAGCTGCCTCGGTCGATGCACCGCGACACCGCGCAGATAACCGCTGACGAATTTTAAAAAAAAATAAAAAGAGCAGAAAAGTGCGATTATAGAAGAAAAGCTCGATCAGTGGATCACTCGACAGAAATGATGAGAACCGACGTGTCGGGTGGTTCGGTCCCGGTGGATCGTCGGTCCGGAGCTTCGGTTTAGTCGCTGAATTCCGCTGCCAACATTCTTTCCTGCGCCACGTTTCAGGCCGAGCAGGCCCGACGCTAGCCGGCTAACGCGGACACCGGCCGGGTGCGAGCCGTTGGCCGAGCCCTGTAAACCTCCGCCGACCTGAAAAACACGATATCACGACGTTTTCAACTGAACACGGCGCGATCCAAGGGGCGGCCGGCCTCAGCCAAAGACCCGGGGGGGGGGCGAGTGACATTCAGCGGGCGCTTCGGCTTCGGCTGCCCCGGCGGTGGCGAGCTCCGCCATCACAACCTTCTCTCTGGGCCGACTCCATTTTAGCAGCGTTAGCTTAGCATAGCTAACGGCTCGCTGCGCGTCGAAACCTCGTGTGCGAAGCCGGGGAAAAAAGTCGATCGAGAACCGGAGTGAAAGGCGGTGAAAGGCGGTGAAAGGTGGGCACTCACCTGCTGATCTAGACCGTGTGGATTATCGATGACCACATGACTCATAACTAAAGAGAGGAGAGGATTCGTTCTGAGGAGAAAGGGTTCTTTGTTAGCTCCGCCGGCTCCGATCACACGCTCACTGGGGCTTCGTCTTCTTCTTCCCGCTGACAGCTGGAGGGAACACTTCGCTCGCGACTGGACTGGACTGTTGGCTGGACTGGAAATAAATAAAAGTTCTGGTTGTGAGTGAGGATGCTGAGCAGAGACACGTCCCGGTGGATGGACCGAGGAGGAATGAGACTCTGAGCTCAGGTAGCGCGAGATATCAGCCGTGTGACCTCAGCCCGGGGCCCAAGTCTCGCGAGAGGTCGCGTCTCCCCTAGTGGTGAGAGACTGACATGACGAACAACGTGTCTGGACCTGAAACTGATCTGAGTTCAGAACAGTGCTGATCTGAGGCCAGACCTGAAACTGATCTGAGGCCAGACCTGAAACTGATCTGAGGCCAGACCTAAAACTGATCTGAGTCCAGACCTGAAACTGATCTGAGTTCAGAACAGTGCTGATCTGAGGCCAGACCTAAAACTGATCTGAGTCCAGACCTGAAACTGATCTGAGTCCAGACCTGGAACTGATCTGAGTTCAGACCTGGAACTGATCTGAGGCCAGACCTGAAACCACAGAACCTCAGAGACTCATTTCATTCACACAGAACTAACACACACATGAGAAACTGCAGTAAAGATGCAAAGCTTCCACAAATACACTAAAACTACTACAGAGGGACACACAACTATCACAACAGGGAATAGATTCCTACACAGATACACAATGACCCAGAAACAACAACCACACAGACTGTAACTAATACCTGCAAAATGACTACAGTGATATATAACTACCACAAAGAGACGATACATGCATGTGGAAATACACAATGACCACAAACAGAAACACAACAATCACAACCTGTTACTAATACAAGTAAAAATACTACAAAGAGACGCTACACCACCACAGATCACATGCACAATCACTACCAGGAGATGAATATAGAAGAATATAATACATGAGAAATGACCATAGACAGACACACACATGAATACAAAACTACTTCACAGAGATGCTAAATGACTACATGCAATGTAAAGATAAACAACGACCACAAAAATAAAAAACTTCCCTAAAAATATTCAAAAGTACCAGAGAGAGAAAAGGTGAACATAGATACAAAAGGATGCAAACACAAAAATATACTAAATGATTTTAAAGTTATGCAAAAACAAAGTCGTGTGTGGTCGTCTTGTGTTTGGGTTTCTTGTATAAACAGTATATATATATATATATATATATATTTAATGAGTGTGTGTGTGTGTGGGGGGGGGGGGGGGGTGTTTCTATTGTGTTATAATCTGTGCAGCACAAAGCTTTAGATCAGAGAAGCCTTTATTATCTATATGTGTATTAACAATGAACCACAACTTGTTGAGAATGTGTGGTGACATCGCAGCGAGCCGACCCTCCTCTGATCACACAGCGTCAGATCTCCCTGAAAGGTCACAAAGGTCAAACATAAGCTCAGTTAAAACCTCTCGTCGACCCTCCCCCTCTCTGCCAGGTTCCTCTGGCCCTCTTCCCCGTGTTGTGCGCTCACTGCAGCCTGTGAAGCCTGTTCCCGTCATTTATCTCCTGCAGCGGCCGAGCTGACCATATGTCGCTGGGATAAGTTAAACCAGAGGTAACTGGTTAGTAGGAGAAAGGTCAGCTTCTGAAATGAGCGAGGAATTCCCCCCCCCCACACACACACAATCCTCATATTAAAAACAGCCATTTGTAATATTATTTCTCTTTTATACTTATTATTCTATAACTTTCTTCTCATTGTGCTTCTACTTTTCTTGTGCTGCTGTGTTCGATGTGAACACTAATCTAAAGTCAACCTTAACCCACATCCTAACTATTTTAAATCGTCCCACAACTTACAGATTTTAATCATTATTATTTATTTTTTTACTATTAATCATGAGAAGGCAGATACCATTACACAGTTAACAGTTGTGTAGTATTTAATAGTTGTTAATACTTAAACTGTAATTAAAAGTACTTAGTAACTTTTACTCTAGTATGTAAGTAGAAATATTAATGTGGTACCTAAAATCAAGGACGTCTCTTTGTACTTTTACTTCAGTAAAATATTAAAGTACTGCCTGCACCACTACTTTTCCCTCGGTAGCTGATCTGACGTCTGTGTATTTGGACATCTACAGTGTGAGCCTCTGAGTCACGGTGGTGACTGACAGTGCAGACACCGTGCTGCACCTTCTCTCCAAATATGTTGCTGAACTTGATACAGGACAAAGTAGGTGTGAGTCAGAGCAGTTATATAAACCTGGAACCTTCCCTGTGTGTTTATAATCCACGAGTATGAGCTTTGGTTTCTGTTGCTCTTTGAACATGTGACCTGTCTGAGTCTCAAATCTTTCAAATAGAAAATGTATAAACTGCGTGTTTGAAACCACGGTCCAGGTTCTGAGCTGGACAAAGGAACGTCTCCCACCTCCGGCGGAGGAAACAGAGGGAACCTCAGCAGCAGGTTCAACGTCTGCTGTTAAAACTGACAAAGGAGGATGTTCCAGCTCCAACACTTAAACTCTAGATCATGTGAGTGACCACAAACTCTTGGCCACGTCTCACTGCCGCCATGTGGCTGCTGAGAGAACTGCACCTCTGAATAACGCCACAGGATTCAAAACAGACAACTTTATTGACAAACAGTAAAAATAGACAGATTATAAGAGTCTCACACACTCTCACACACTCACACACAC